GACTCACGAAGAAGCATTCTTTTCATTCTCACGGCCAGGTGGTTAGGGCGCTCAAATCGTAATCTGCGGGTTCGAATCCTCGTCCCACCAAACCTGCTCGCCCTTTCAGCCGTATGGGCGTTATAATGTGACGGTCAATCCCACTATTCGTTGGTAAAAGAGTAGCCCAAGAGTTGGCGGTGGGTGATGATGACTACCTGCCTTCCCTCTAGTCTTACACTGTTAACTTAGGGACGTGCTAACGCAGATAGCCCTCGTGTAGCTTTGCGTGAAATTAATAACAAACCAAACTTTTCATTCTGGCTCACGAAGAAGCATTTTGTAATCCTAGCTAAAAAGAGAAGCTATCTTATCTTAACTAATAAATAATCTTCCTTTTAATTCTGCATCACGAAAAAGCAATCTCTTAGAAGGAGTATCTTAATTTTCACAACATTTCTTACCATCTCAATTGATAAAGAAACCTCCTTTTAGTTTATAAGCGTCGAACTGACTGCTGAGCCAGTGGGATTTGAATCTGTTTAAAATAATAATTGTCAACAAATTTCGACAGGAGTCCAATGTTCAACCATACGTCGGTTAGTGGAAAAATACAAAACTACACATGCTTTTAAAATTGAACGAGAAACTACAAAAACTACACATGCTTTTAAAATTGAGCGAGAAACTACAAAAACTACACATGATTTTAAGATTGAACGAGAAACTACAAAAACTACACATGCTTTTAAAATTGAACGAAAACTACAAAACTACACGTGCTTTTAAAATTGAGCGAGAACTACAAAAAACTACATATGCTTTTAAAATTGAACAAGAAACTACAAAAAACTACACATTTTACTACAAAGTAAATTAAAATGTTGAATCAACAAGTTATAAAAACAGTAAGTATGTTTAAAGAATCATAATAATGTCCGTCAGTATCTGTGTTAACTAGCAGCTGACAATGTCAATTTAGTGATTAACATTTTCGGTTTCGTTTGATTTTGAATTTCGCACAAATTTCGAGGTGGTATCTGCGCCAGCAGTTCTTAATTTAGGAGTTATAGGCCAGAGGGAAGGCAACTGGTCATCACCACCCACCGCTAACTCTTGGGCTACTTTTTTACTAACGAAAAGTGGGATTGACTATCACATTATGACGCCATCAAGGCTGAAAGTGAGAGCATTTTCAGTGAAGAGATATAAACCTGCGACCTGCAGATTGCGAGTCGAGCGTTTTAATCAGCTGGACATGCCAAGACAGCATTCTCGGACTACGGATCCGAGCGCTCTTTGTTCGTTTCCTGTTACTTCATGGAAAGAAACTCGTGGTTGTCATAAAAAAACAAAACGTAGTAAAATCCTACTATTCCGGTCAGACAAAAGTAGCCCAACATTTTGCGGTGGGTATTATTGACTAGCTGCCTTTCTTCTAGTTTATCAGCTCAAAATTAAGAACGTATATTCTATAGCTTTGCGAAGAAATTCTAAAAGCATACAAACAATACGCATTTTGTCCACGTGCGAAAGTCACGTTACGTTGTCGCATGGAACTCGAAAGTTCAAATTCACCTGCTTATTTTTTGTTATAGATTTTTTTAAAACCGACGATTAAGGAGTCTTTTAGTTAATTTCTATACGGACATTTGTTTCATTGGCTCAAGGCTTTGCAAGCATCTAATTAATGTTAATTATCGGGCTCATTAGTCGAGTTTTAAGAGTGACAAATGTCTATTGAATGACATCACGGATAACTGTCAGATTGAGTGTGCGTAATCTGATTTGTTTTTTATTTTAATTTACTCTTGTTTTTCAAAATAACGTGGATTTCAAGGCTTACTGGACATATTTTGGTTTTAACTCGATTTATTTTTACATTTATCACAATTTACTTTTACTGTTTTTACCGGTTGTTTGGCGCAGATAGCCTAGTTGCTTTGCGCCATAAAACACCAAACAACCAAACAATCAAGGCTTACTATCGGCTTTTGTTACACTGGTTGATTAGGACATGAATAAAAAACAATGAACAAATTATTATTTAATTTGGGTTTTTTCTCTTAATTTTTTTCTATCTATACGGGTCCTTAGTGTCAAAAGGATGAAAGTGGACACTAGTATCAGTTGAACACAAAGAAAAGCTTTCACTCAGTTCGTATCACGTGTAGAGCCAGGCCTAAAATATTTAACAGAAAAACGTATGTCTGATGAGCCTTTATTACTCTATCTCAGTACAGCATGCAGGTTTAGTGTCTGTTTTTTGTTTATGTGTTTGTTTTTAGGCGCACGGTTATCGAACTTCGATTGTAGCGTTGTAAGCCTGCTGAGCCACCGAGGGGAAGGCCTGTTCTTTGGAACACGTTAATTTAAAAACAACCGTTTGGTATGTATTTAAAGTTTCCATATTGACTTTCCGAAACTTCCTTCTAAGCCTCTTGGATTTTGCTATCTATCCATCTATCAGTAGCTCAACTGAATTATCTACTATAAGAATTAACGTCGATTATAAAAGCTTAATCACAACACAGCAGTTCGCACTGTCACACTTTTTATATTCTACGTAAACAAAACATTTTGATATTACACCCTTGAATTACGGGTAATTACATCAACTCTTACTCTTCATAAAAAACAACGGGGTTCTAGAGGGTTCGAGATGCTAATTAATACACATTTTACTAAGTAGCTGCTAGATTATTTAGTTGCTTAATTAATACATACGTACAGTTACTAACACTGAAATGCTTTCTGTGTTAGGCTTATATGTCCAACAGGCATACGACGCTAAAAACAGACAGCTCATTGTGTAGTTTTGTGCCACTCCAAAAATTTAGTCTTATTCTCACTTCAAGAAAAAAAATCTTATGAAAAACTACATCAGAATATCACGCACAAAACAGACTAATTCACATTCTACCTGCTTCAAACATCCACGTGACTCTTTTAAGCCTTTTCACCGTCAGTATTAGTGTGCCAGTAGATAAGTTTAAGTGAATGTAATAGCATTTTATCTGTTTGATTGTTACCAGTAAAGGCACGAAGTCCTCTGATAGACATTCTGCTACTTTCTTGGGAGGTGTACAGTCTTGGCCAAAATATTTACATGCTGTTCTACATTGATGTTACTGTCTATATGCATGGAGTAGTTACTGAGTAAATGCCAGAGTAGTAACAGAGAAGGTAGCGTACGATCGGACAAACATGTACGAGTTGTTATTATTCTGGTATGTATAAGTTGTTTTGAGCATTTGTTAGCCAAAACACATACATACCTGTTTTGTATGAAAGGGTGTGCTTTTGATATAATCTTTTTTTGAAACAGATCAATGCTTTGTTCAACGAGTTTCTCTGTACTTGATGTAGAGTCACGCCTCGTCACGTGCCAGAAGTTATAGGGCGTCAAATTGTTCAAATGTCCAGAAATGGTATGAAGCAAACGGACATTGCGAGAAGAATAGGGAACCCCCAGTGTACTTATCAAGAATCCTGAAACGTCATCGGACTACAGGAAATGTTGTCCTAGGAAAGTCTACTGGTAGACGCCGAAAAACTATTGTCCGAGATGACCGTGTTTTGGTCAGGTTAACATGTCAAGGTCGAAAGAAGTCTCGTAACACCTTACGACAGGAATGGCATGAACACATTCATTCCAGGGTATCCAGAAGAACGGTGAATAGGAGACTGACCAAACAAGATTATTTTGCAATATAAGCTATCTGTAAACCGATACTAATCAGAATTCACCACCGTCACCATGTTGTTTTGACTTTGTCAACTTACAGTTAGGACACTGGCAACATGTCATCTTTTCAGATAAGTCTTGTTTCTGGCTTGTTAAAGCTGATGGTATGATTCATGTTCGTCATTTGCCTGGAAAACAGATGAGGGAAGACTGTCTTTCCGATAGAAGGTGGCGCAGTACGTGTTTGGGCAGCCATTTATCATGGTGGAAAAAGTGCTCTTCATATCCTCCAGGGAAATGTCAGTGGCGCCTCCTACAGGAATCACGTGGAAACGATATTTCTGCCATATACTAGGGCAAGGTTTGGCAATAACGTTTTGTTCAAATGATAATGGCACTGTCTACAATGCACATATTGTACAGAACTATCTCGACCAGGAGGATGTTACAAGATTGCCATGGCCAACAAAGTCTCCAGATTGTAATCCAATTAAGAACTGTTGAGCAGAACTGAGCCGAAAAATTGCTAACCACGACCCTAAACCATGCACTGTAACTGAGTTGCAGCGCCTTCTAGTGATAAGTTGAGATGAAATTATGGTGGATTACATCAATAACCTCATCGACAGCATGCCACGTCGCCTTTCTCGGTTATTAGAGCACGGGGAGAACCAACCAACTACCGAATGTTTAAAATGAACGGGTATAAAGCTACATACGCTATTTATAATAATTTGGTGTTATATTTTGTCATTATTTATGTTTTGTTAAGGTTTTGTCGTGATAGGTGAAATGCTGGATTACACATCTTCCTAAAGATGTCTGATAAAATTGTTTACGACGTCCATAGAAACTGTCTCATTATACATAGTACATATGTAGGTGTTTAATATGACATGTATTTCTCAGTTTAAAGGTGATAAGTGTATTTGTACGCCATCTTAATAATAATGATCTTATTTGTTACAAAATATGCAAACATTTTGGCCAAGACTGTACGATAGACAGGCGACGGCTGGACAGAGACACTGACTGATGAACATGGGTAAAATCTTAGCTGTGTTTTCTCTAAAAATTACGGCTGGGCGTGTCCTAGTGGTTAGCGTCCCGGGCTATGAAATCCGAGGTCCATGTTTCGAGTTATGGGTGAGTTATAAAAGTGACGGTCAAATCCCACTATTCCATTAGAGTTTCACAAGAGCTGCTGGCTGTGGGAGCTGTTGACTAGCTACCTTCTCTTGTATAGCTAAACCGAAACCATATGAATTAAACTCAGATGGCATTCCACAAAGTGGAAGCAGAATTTACATCACACTTAAAACAGTAGTGTTACCATGTGAAAAATGCCACGATAAGAATGTTTTCTTCTCATCTCCCTCCAGTGGTATTTTCTAACCTCTTCCCTACATAAAACTTTCGACCACAATTACACATCAAATAAACTTACGTACAAGTTGTTTTTGTTTATACAGACGGCCTCAAGTGTACGACCTCACAACCCATTTCCACGACGAGACCCTTCAAAAGTACCCGTGACCCCGCTGAAAGACCACCTGGTGGCGACCTATTCCAACAGTCTTCGTCAAGAGGATTCGTGTACAGAAGACTCATCCTCCAAGGTCAATATTTACAGTGAAACCAGTTGTTTCTCAGAAGAGGACCAATCGGTCAACCCTGTTCACACTTATTTATCCAATTCGTGCCCTTATCACCCTGATACCGCCCAATCAGTCAGTTTCCCTTTGTGAAGCTTGCCCAAAACCTCCTTGATCGGGGCCATGTCACATTTGTTCAGGAGAACCTTCGAGCCCGTCCACTTTGCAGTACTGATTACGACATTTAAGTGAACAAAACCTGCTAACTATCTGAATATCTATACAAAGAAAAACGATTTATAATACTTATAGGGCAAAAAAATATACCTTTTATATGAGGTACTGTTAAAAATATTTTAAAATGTTATATTACATCAAATATGCTCACCCTTTCAGCCGTGGGGGTGTTATAATGTGACGGCCAATCCAACTATTCGTTGATAAAAGAGTAACCCAAGAGTTGGCGGTGGGTGGTGATGACTAGCTGCCTTCCCTCTGGTCTTACATTGCTAAATTAGGGACGGCTAGCGCAGATAGCCCTCGTGTAGCTTTGCGCAAAAATTAAAAAAAAACCTAAACCAAACCAAAACGGATAGATATGTTTGTACAGACCAATGGTAGAACGAGAAACCAGTTGAAAAAAAAAACCTAAACCAAACCAAAACGGATAGATATGTTTGTACAGACCAATGGTAGAACGAGAAACCAGTTGAAAAAAAAAACCTAAACCAAACCAAAACGGATAGATATGTTTGTACACACCAATGGTAGAACGAGAAACCAGTTGAAAAAAAAATGCATTGAAATAAATGTCGTCCAATGAAAAACTTCCACGTTTTCTTCTCGGAAATAACAATTAACTTTCTTCTCTTTGTTGGCAGTTTAATAATAATGAGGAGGATAAAAAGTGTAAAAACTCTGTCAAGGAAGTGTGAGACTTATCGTTCTCTTTGTTTTCCCGCTTTTTTTCTGGCAGCAAAACTGACATTTTGAGCTCTAGTAATGACT